GGGAGCTCAAAGACATTCGCTTATCTTTCCCTCAATAAACTGGTAGTGATACCTCCATGAGTAAGGAAGAAGATTGGTCAAGCAAAATATTTTTCTGAGTTGCCAAATCCTTGAAAGAGACTATCGTCCGATAAGCATCGATTTTGCGCCGACATATACGGCCCTGCTTCATTGATCATCGGCTGGTTAAGATCCCTCTCCCCTATAATTTTTACTTGTTACGAGGGACTTCTGCATCAGTTCGAAAACTCAGAAAAAAATGACTCGGGTGCCCAGCCATTTTTCTTCCCTATTAGTGAACTATCATTCATGAAATGGTAACCCAAACTCTGAAATCTGAGTTATGTTTGAAAGGGTTGCTTAGGTGGGGTTATGATATCGATTCTCACACAAGGTAATCCACAAAACTTAGAATGTACGTCTTTTCGGCCGCCGGCAAAAACTATATTGCGTAATTAATGACTACTTAAGAGGTATCATTTCTCCCCACTAATCTTCGATGCCGTTATAAATTCTTACCGGTTTTACAGAAAATCTGCTTAAAAAATTTTCCCTGTTAGAAGTACTTGATAGCGAATAACGTCTTCTCTAATTTTATAATTATGAGGTTTTTAAGACCGTGAAACATTTATTTAAAAAGCATCTTACCAGCCTATTTATTAATAAGACTTCCGAAGTATACAATATGATGCCTATCTACTAAAAGATTTCGTGAGTCTCATATGATCTCTTCCTAGGAGAATACAGTGATGTATATTTTTACATGAAAAGTATACAGCTTGCGGATACAACGGCAGATGGGACCCAAAATATTCGTGAATTGATAAACTTTCTAAAACCGATTGCCCATCTTTATTTGAAAATAAAATTCAAAGCTGTGAATAGCTACCGAATGAGCATAAGAGATAGTACTTTTTTGTGGGCGACTGGAAAGGAGAAAATTCGAAAATCGGCATCCTAGTATGACTCAAATGTCTTAAGAATAGACTGCACGATAATGAATATTATAACCCAAAGTAAATAATCGTTTCTACCTGAAAACGCCTTCCTGGACTTCATTTAACATTTCATAACATTAGTCACTGTCTGTAAATTTGCTTTCCAGCAGAAAAATCCGCATGCTTTGTTAACTGGTCTGGTAAACCTGCGGATGGATGACTGTGCGCAGAGTCAAATAAAGACTCAA